TGATAACATGATATTAAGTATATAGATTGACATTAATAGTGATAACATGATATTAAGCATATAGATTGACATTAATAGTGATAACATGATATTAAGTATATAGATTGATATTAATAGTGATAACATGATATTAATTATATAGCGGTGAGGATTGCATGAATATTGTTAAAGATTTGTTACACTCATCATACTAGTCCTATTGCTGCTGTTCAGATTGACTATGTGCTATTTCTTACATCATCACCTGTCTCACGATAATCTTTACTGAACCTTTATGCTCACTGACTAGAGTTCGGGTCTATTGGGCCTCTTGCTTTGTACTCCTAGATCATAGCACTGAATGATGGACTCAGTTCATTTATTGCAGCCATTATCTATGATTGACATCCAAGTTCTTTACGAAACTTAAAGTTGTTTATGTCTTAAATTCTATACTAACATGATAAAGATTTTTGGAAGTTTTAACCAGAAGGTTTATTTGGTACACATTCTGTAACTGGAGTCCACTAATTATTAGGCCTGACACAACAGTGGTGTCGGTAGCTATGCATAGCTATTTGAAGAGAAGACTTGATTGCTTGCTATAACCAGTGCATCCCGTCCCTGTGTTCCACAGTCTGTTATAACTAGGTGATTGCATGGCTCTAGAAATGTTACATGACCTGCAATATCTAGATAGTATACCAAATTAGTTCTTTTTTCTTCGGACGTCTAGAATTTTCATGAGTGAAACTGCAAAGCAAAAGTGAAAATTTCTAGAGGATTATCAATCTTAAATTTTTATCTTATATCAAGTCGAACCTAAGTCAAGACCTCTTATCACAGAACACACTTAATAGTTGAAATCGGCTATTCGGATACGAAGTTATCTAAATTGTTAATCACATTTTCAACAATGCTGTCTTGAAGTCTGTTACGTCCTGTCTGTTCTAAGTATGACGTCATAATTGAAAGGCCATATTGCTCTGCTTTCATACCAAATAAATATGATATTGACCTATCAGTACAACGCTCGAGTTCAGTGATAAAATAAGATATACTGTCTAAGGCAGGTTTCTGTCAGGTATTATGATGAAATCAACAATAAATAGAGGGTACAGAGTTTGAATACAACCATGTAATACCAGAACTTGTTCAGGCTGTAGCACTGAAGGTATCGGTGTCAACCACTATTTTTCAGATTCCTACTTCATAAAAGTTTTAACACTTAAACTACTTCATAAAAGTTTCAACACTTAAACTACTTCATAAAAGTTTCAACACTTGAACTAAGTATAGAACTCGACACTTACAGATAGTTAGTTATGTCTGTATTAAATTGTTGATAGTATCACTTTCTAACAGATCAGTACTTAGTTACACTATTAGATATATAAGTTCTGTCGATACACAACATTACACCAGTGTGTACAGGGCCAGGTACCAATACTGCTGGCATGAAGCTGGTTTCCTTCCCACTCCCAGCTAGTATAAAATGTTTAACTGAATATCTTCCCTGTTTTAGACATATAAATGTTATTATTGGAAAATGAATCGACCACAGTCAACAATTTTTCACACAATAGAAGATGACCTTCACGTTATATTTAGGTCAGAATAAAAACAAAATCAATAAAAGGAAATATTTCATTATATCAAATATAATAGTTATGAAAATAAGCTCAGCCTACTTTGTATGGGCTGGTATAGAGATCATGTAAAGTGGTTTATAAGCTATGTTTTGGCTACAAAAGAAACACTTGTGAGTCTGTTTAATAAATGGCTGATAATTTTAGTACTATTAATCTATGTCAGCTTGCATGGTATCAGGTTGTGTGTCCACGAAGAGGACAGAGCTAGTTAACTAATAAAATCTTTCCTTAACCCTTTCACCACTGTAGACCATGATGGACTCATCCATATCAATGCATGGTAGAGTCTACTAAAGTTACATAGGGGTGAAAGGGTTAAATGACTGCTTCCCTAAAGTAACTGCCTGTGTTGGTAAATCTCTGAATGGCAATGATCAGGGTTACAGACCAGTTTATAAAACTAATGCCAGCATACTGCAACGTAAACCAATGTTTGTCCTCAACCAACCAAACAGCTTGTGGAAACTTATTCCACCCAACCCTAGCCCAGTGTCCACTGTTAACCTTCAACTGACCACTCCTAGTCCTAGACTGACCACTCCCAGTCCCAGACTGACCGCCTAGCAAGCAGACAAGTCTTCTTACCGCCACAGTGTAGAGCAATACATCTTTACGTGTTCTACTGTACGTCCACTCTAAACTGACCGCCTTGTGTGGACAAGCTCGGTGTAAGAACACCGACATCAGGACTTCTGGGGACTAACCTCTATGTATGCTTTCTCTTGTATCCTGCCCTGGCAGATAATAGGTCTACTGGTATGTATAGTTATAATGGTTTACTTGGTGTGTAGTTGTAACAGCAATGTTTGCACGTACGAATGAGGACCTCGGAGAATTTCTCTATTTCATTTGTCCTTTACCTTCCAAGAGGTCTCCATTCCCAAAGATGTTGTCACCTGCATGTTTCCTTAGTCAAAATTAGTGTCTGGTTTGCATGGATGTGCATGACATGAAATAATCTTTGCATGTTGTAAATATCTTAATTATATAAGCTCTGGATACTGGAAGATGAACCTTTCTTTTTTTTCATTTTTCGTTTTCAACTTTTTAAAGTTTTGTTTCATTCTTTCCATTTTCATGCCAAAGGTCTCATGTTTTGTAGCTCACAGCAGGTTAAAAGATGAAGTGGAACTTCCATGGTAAAATGTTTGTCGTCTGCATATTTATTTTCACCATTCATTCTACAAGATTTCCGCTGATAGATCAAGAAATTAAACGGAAATCAGAGTGATAGATTTTGGGAAGTGAAAACTGGCTCGATTGATTAGAATGAGGTCCTATAGTTTGTGAAATTGTAACTTTACATAGGAAATTTGGAGAAATGAAAATCAGAGTTTGAGCGGATTGAAATTTGCCCATTAGATGGTGAAAAATGAAAATTGGCGCAGTAGATTTTGGGGGTGGGGGTTGAAAATTGGCCCAGTTATTTTGGGGGTGGGGGTTGAAAATTGGCCTTAGAGGTTTGGCAAAATGACAATAATGGTAAACGTGTGACCAAACCAAATGGTGTTAATAGATTGTATTCCATATGCTTGACAATGCATCGCAAATGTTGTTACTCCTGTACATATCAATATTTGTTTAGACCGTTTAGACTTATTGGATATCTCAATTACAGTAAACACTAGGGGAAGGATACCAGGTGAGCTTCACCAGGCCCTGTCCATTAGTAGGCCTTCTGTTTTGCTTTTGGTCAGTTTATTTTCACAGCTACTTTTTCATTTTCCTCTCAGATATGTTGGTAGCTGGCTACTGTCTGTGAACTAATCCGATATGCCGGCTATTGGTATCGGTTGATTGAATTACCAGTGATTGGTATCAGTTGATTGAATTACTAATGATTGGTATCGGTTGATTGAATTACCAGTGATCGGTATCGGTTGATTGAATTACCAGTGATTGGTATCGGTTGATTGAATTACCAGTGATTGGTATCGGTTGATTGAATTACCAGTGATTGGTATCGGTTGATTGAATTACCAGTGATTGGTATCAGTTGATTGAATTACTAATGATTGGTATCGGTTGATTGAATTACCAGTGATTGGTATCGGTTGATTGAATTACCAGTGATTGGTATCGGTTGATTGAATTACCAGTGATTGGTATCGGTTGATTGAATTACCAGTGATTGGTATTGGAGTTCATATTTGTAATCATAATACTGATATTGTTTTCTGGTTGTGAAAACAGTTTCTCCTTTCAGAGTATAGATATAGTTCTTTATTACAATAGTGTTAAAATTGAGATGTTGACTTATGACGTCAAGAACTACTGCTCTATCGAAACCACTGCAGCTAATGTGTTAGAAATACAAGTACATTGTACCCATGTATAATTATGTTATGCCTCTGTAAATATTAAAGTTTCAAATCAAATTAAACTGACTTAAATCATTGCCTGTATTAAATTCATGAACAATTATTCAAAACCAGGGAGAAAGATTATGTAAAATTTTGAAATATCTGCATACTTCTGGGGTTTTTCTCCATTTAACACCGAAATGATAACTTTTTTTTATTTGTTGATCACCATCCACCTAAGCATTGATCACAGGTCTATCTCAGGGGGTGTAATTCTACTGTGTAGATAGATCACAGGTCTATCTCGGGGTATAATTCTACTGTGTAGATAGATCACAGGTCTACCTCAGGGGGTGTAATTTTCCTGTGTAGATAGATCACAGGTCTATCTCAGGGGGTGTAATTCTACTGTAGATAGATCACAGGTCTATATCAGGCGGTGTAATTCTACTGTGTAGATAGATCACAGGTCTACCTCGGGGGGTGTAATTCTACTGTGTAGATAGATCATAGGTCTATCTCAGGGGGTGTAATTCTACTGTGTAGATAGATCACAGGTCTATATCAGGCGGTGTAATTCTACTGTGTAGATAGATCACAGGTCTACCTCGGGGGGTGTAATTCTACTGTGTGGATAGATATATCATAGGTCTATCTCAGGGGGTGTAATTCTACTGTAGATAGACCTATGATATATCTATCCACACAGTAGAATTACACCCCCTGAGGTAGACCTATGACCTATCTACAGTAGAATTACACCCCCTGAGATAGACCTATGATCTATCTACACAGTAGAATTGCACCCCCCGAGGTAGACCTGTGATCTATCTACACAGGTCTACCTCGGGGGGTGTAATTCTACTGTGTGGATAGATCATAGGTCTATCTCAGGGGGTATAATTCTACTGTAGATAGGTCACAGGTCTACCTCAGGGGGTGTAATTCTACTGTGTAGATAGATCACAGCTCTATATCAGGCGGTGTAATTCTACTGTGTAGATAGGTCACAGGTCTACCTCAGGGTGTGTAATTCTACTGTAGATAGGTCATAGGTCTACCTCAGGGGGTGTAATGTTACTGTGTAGATAGATCACAGGTCTTCCTCAGGGGGTGTAATTCTACTGTAGATAGGGCACAGGTCTACCTCAGGGGGTGTAATTCTACTGTAGGTAGGTCACAGGTCTACCTCGGGGGGTGTAATTCTACTGTAGATAGGGCACAGGTCTACCTCAGGGGGTGTAATTCTACTGTAGATAGGTCATAGGTCTACCTCAGGGGGTGTAATTCTACTGTAGATAGGTCACAGGTCTACCTCAGGGGGTGTAATTCTACTGTAGATAGGTCATAGGTCTACCTCAGGGGGTGTAATTCTACTGTGTAGGTAGATCACAGGTCTACCTCAGGGGGTGTAATTCTAATGTGTGGATAGATCACAGGTCTATCTCAGGGGGAGTAATTCTACTGTGTAGATAGATCACAGGTCTACCTCAGGGGGAGTAATTCTACTGTGTAGATAGGTCACAGGTCTATCTCAGGTGGTGTAATTCTACTGTGTAGATAGATCACAGGTCTACCTCAGGAGGTGTAATTCTACTGTAGTTAGGTCACAGGTCTACCTCAGGGGGTGTAATGTTACTGTGTAGATAGATCACAGGTCTACCTTAGGGGGTGTAATTCTACTGTATAGATAGGTCACAGGTCTATCTCAGGGGGTGTAATTCTACTGTATAGATAGATCACAGGTCTACCTCAGGGGGTGTAATTCTACTGTGTGGATAGATCACAGGTCTATCTCAGGGGGTGTAATTCTACTGTATAGATAGATCACAGGTCTACCTCAGGGGGTTTAATTCTACTGTGTGGATAGATCACAGGTCTACCTCGGGGGTGTCATTCTACTGTGTGGATAGATCACAGGTCTATATCAGGGGGTGTAATTCTACTGTGTAGATAGATTACAGGTCTACCTCAGGGGGTGTAATTCTACTGTATAGATAGATCACAGGTCTACCTCAGGGGGTTTAATTCTACTGTGTGGATAGATCACAGGTCTACCTCGGGGGTGTAATTCTTCTGTGTGGATAGATCACAGGTCTACCTCGGGGGTGTAATTCTACTGCGTGGATAGATCACAGGTCTACCTCGGGGGTGTAATTCTACTGCGTGGATAGATCACAGGTCTACCTCGGGGGTGTAATTCTACTGCGTGGATAGATCACAGGTCTACCTCGGGGGTGTAATTCTACTGCGTGGATAGATCACAGGTCTACCTCGGGGGTGTAATTCTACTGCGTGGATAGATCACAGGTCTACCTCGGGGGTGTAATTCTTCTGTGTGGATAGATCACAGGTCTATCTCAGGGGGTATAATTCTACTGTGTGGATAGATCACAGGTCTATCTCAGGGGGTATAATTCTACTGTGTAGATAGATCACAGGTCTACCTGGGGGGTGTTATTCTACTGTGTGGATAGATCACAGGTCTATCTCAGGGGGTATAATTCTACTGTGTAGATAGATCACAGGTCTATCTCAGGGGGCGTAGTTATATTGTGTAGATAGATCACAGGTCTATCTCAGGGGGGGTAGTTATATTGTGTAGATAGATCACAGGTCTATCTCAGGGGGGGGGCAATTCTACTGTGTAGATAGATCACAGGCCTATCTCAGGGGGCGTAGTTATATTGTGTAGATAGATCACAGGTCTATCTCAGGGGGTGTTATTATACTGTGTAGATAGGTCACTACTGTGTAGATAGATCACAGGTCTACCTCAGGGGGTGTAATTCTTCTGTGTAGATAGATCACAGGTCTATCTCAGGGGGGGGGGAATTCTACTGTGTAGATAGATCACAGGTCTATCTCAGGGGGTGTAGTTATATTGTGTAGATAGATCACAGGTCTATCTCGGGGGGTGTTATTATACTGTGTAGATAGGTCACAGGTCTACCTCAGGGGGTGTAATTCTACTGTGTAGATAGATCACAGGTCTACCTCAGAAGAAGAATTGCACCCCCTGAGATAGACCTGTGATCTATCTACACAGTAGAATTACACCCCCTGAGATAGACCTTAGAGGGTGTAATTCTACTGTGTAGATTGGTCCCTTTAGCTTTACTTTGAATAAGGAATTTAGCACCAAAATTTGAAGTGGATAGGAATGAATCAAGCAAAACCAAAATGGTCTCACTTTATGTAGATGCATATATTTTATGCTAACAAATATAGGATTAGACAATCGTTGCGATTTTTTAAGAATTCATTTTTTCAGTATAGTCAATTTATCCAGTAGATTAGTGTGTGCTTCACATAAAAATTACATTGTAATTTGGTATCCACCCGGTCTGTTTAGGATCCACTATAAATGCCGAATAAACTCGGGTTACTAATCATTGTTTTATTACAGCTTGTATAGAAATCCATACTCAATGATATTCATGGAGCGGGAACTAGTTGCTGGTTTCAGTAAAACAATATTATCATGATCGTGTTGTTTGTATTGTAGACTGATGACACAAAGGAAGATTTTAGTGATTTACCGCCAAACCAGAGAAGGAAAGCCCTGCAAAAAAAGATTGATGGCTTCAAGAAGGATATAGGTCGCGAAACTGCAGAAAGGTACGGTACATTGATAAACTTGATCCGTCTGTTCGTTTAAACATATTTTATTGTCCAAAGATACAAATGGATGGACATCAGGTTATTTCAACACAATATATATAGCACTCTCCTCAATACATACGATACAAAGAATGTATATATGTTTTTGGGGACAGGGATAAGGATGGGGGGGGGGGGGGGGGGGGTTACTGAGAAAAGAAATTGTGTAAATTGTGAAATGGATCCGCATTTGAATAAATTATAAATTAAACAAATTTCATGATATGCAGCTGGCTGGTAGAGTAATTTCAAAATGAACAGAATCAATGTAAAAAAGAAATTGGGCAAAAAAATGAAATACAATTTCATTAACACATAACACTGTACACACATAAATAGAAACTATTGCTGGATTTGATGTAATGATGCACATCTCTAACAATGTTTGTATTCGTTGTTGTTATGTGTATGAGTACGAGGGTTAACGACTTGGACATTACACAAGTGGTCCACTTACAGCGAGAGTGATTGGGTAGGTTAGTATGGGGAGTTGTTTCCTCTTCATCTTCATGCATAATATTTGACATGTGTACAAAAACATATAATTCCTAGAATAAGATCAAGTTATAATTGTTACTGTTATTGTTCAAGAGAAAATAACAGTTATTGTCATATGTAAAGAGTAAATGGCTGGTCTCAATAATTTAGCCATCACTAATCTATCTTTTTCATTGTTAAGCTACCTTTCAATTTAATATAGAAATAAAGCTGAGAAATTGTGTCAATTGCAGACTTAGAAATTAAGGGTTGTGTCAATTGAAGACCTAGAAACTAAGGGTTGTGTCAATCACAGACCTAGAAATTAAGGATTGTGTCAATCACAGACTTAGAGACTAAGGGTTGTGTCAATCACAGACTTCGAAACTAAGAGTTGTGTCAATCATAGACTTAGAAATTAAGGGTTGTGTCAATCACAGACTTAGAAACTAAGAGTTGTGTCAATCACAGACCTAGAAATTAAGGGTTGTGTCAATCATAGACTTAGAAACTAAGGGTTGTGTCAATCACAGACTTAGAGACTAAGGGTTGTGTCAATCATAGACTTAGAAACTATGGTTTTGTCACTGCAGACTTAGAAACTATGGTTTTGTCACTGCAGACTTAGAAACTAAGGGTTGTGTTAACCACATATTCAGAAACTAAGGGTTGTGTCAATTTCCAACTTAGAAACTAAGGGTTGTGTTAACCACATATTTAGAAACTAAGGGTTGTGTCAACCACAGATTTAGAAACTAAGGGTTGTGTCAATTGCCGACTTAGAAACTAAGGGTTGTGTCAATTCCCGACTTAGAAACTAAGGGTTGTGTTAACCACATATTTAGAAACTTCGGGTTGTGTCAACCACAGATTTAGAAACTAAGGGTTGTGTCAATTGCCGACTTAGAAACTAAGGGTTGTGTCAATTCCCGACTTAGAAACTAAGGGTTGTGTTAACCACATATTTAGAAACTTCGGGTTGTGTCAACCACAGATTCAGAAACTAAGGGTTGTGTCAATTGCTGACTTAGACACTAAGGGTTGTGTCAATTGCCGACTTAGAAACTAAGGGTTGTGTCAATTGCTGACTTAGAAACTAAGGGTTGTGTCAATTGCTGACTTAGAAACTAAGGATAATGTTAACAACTCATTTTGAAATTGTAAACCAAAGATGTGTGCGTTGAATTTATCGGTTATCAAAACTTGTACCTGTATGTTTTTAGAGAAGGCATGCTAAAGATGAAGGAAGTATATGCCAAGAATCCAGCTCTAGGTGACCCGGCCATCTTGGACAAGAAGATTGAAGAAAATGCACAGAAATTAGACAGTCTTAATGCAGAACTTAGAAAATTTCAGGTAATTGAAAGTGAGATGTCATATATTGTACTCAAGTTTGTTAAATACTTAGACACTAAATTTCTGTATCCCTACTACAGAACATTATTTTCTGATATGAATGCTAATGAGAATTTTAGTTTAAGAATTAAACAATGATGTTAAAGACAGCATACTTTTTAAACTTTATCAAATCAGCAACATCTTGGCTGGGTTCAAGCATTTTTTCTGACAGTAAATGTAGCAAAAAATATTTAAGCCTCTTCAAAATACAAGTGCTGTACGATACATACATATTCCTGATGCAGTTTTTTTGTTTACTAAATAACATGGCCTTTGTTGTTTTGTTGTTTACTAAATAACATGGCCTTTGTTGTTTTGTTGTTTACTAAATAACATGGCCTTTGTTGTTTTGTTGTTTACTAAATAACATGGCCTTTGTTGTTTTGTTGTTTACTAAATAACATGGCCTTTGTTGTTTTGTTGTTTACTAAATAACATGGCCTTTGTTGTTTTGTTGTTTACTAAATAACATGGCCTCTGTTGTTTTGTTGTTTACTAAATAACATGGCCTTTGTTGTTTTGTTGTTTACTAAATAACATGGCCTCTGTTGTTTTGTTGTTTACTAAATAACATGGCCTTTGTTGTTTTGTTGTTTACTAAATAACATGGCCTCTGTTGTTTTGTTGTTTACTAAATAACATGGCCTTTGTTGTTTTGTTGTTTACTAAATAACATGGCCTCTGTTGTTTTGTTGTTTACTGAATAACATGGCCTCTGTTGTTTTGTTGTTTACTAAATAACATGGCCTCTGTTGTTTTGTTGTTTACTAAATAACATGGCCTCTGTTGTTTTGTTGTTTACTAAATAACATGGCCTCTGTTGTTTTGTTGTTTACTAAATAACATGGCCTCTGTTGTTTTGTTGTTTACTAAATAACATGGCCTCTGTTGTTTTGTTGTTTACTAAATAACATGGCCTCTGTTGTTTTGTTGTTTACTAAATAACATGGCCTCTATTGTTTTGTTGTTTACTCAATAACATGGCCTTTGTTGTTTACTCAATAACATGGCCTTTGTTTTGTTGTTAACAGAATTACCTGGCTGATGCTGAAGGAAAGCAGCACATCAGTGGCTCGGACGACTCAATATCTCATAGTACCTCGGAGGGCAGTGTGCAAAACTCTAACGTGGTGTCGGCACCAGGCACGCCCCAGGCCCAGCATGCAGTCTACGAGTACGTATCCACAGTGTATAACTCGGCCGTCTCATCAGTCATGTGTTCTTATATTTCGTCCGTTTTATTTTTGGCTTGTGTTGTCTATATATATGACCATGTAACTGCCCTTTATTTCCAGGGTTTACGACCCACACATCAGGTTAGTGTAGCCGTGCATGTGTGTACTCCTATAGGCATTGTACTGTGTAGTTTGTGTTCACCCAGACATACTCCTCCAGCTCCTTCAGCATTCTCATTGATATCACAGTGGTCAAAACATACAGCTACTTTGGGCTGAGATCGTTGAAGCTTTGTCAGTAATGTAGAAATGTATATCAGCAAATTTGTTTTTTGTGTATGGAATCAAGCTAATTTAACACTGGTATGAATAAAGCCTGGTGAGGTTATTAGAATTACATATTTACATCACAAGCAGTTACATGACGTTTAGTAAATGACACATTTAATTATTGAGCATGAACTCTAAAATCAACAACAAAATTAATATATATCTGAATTGTATCTCAAGGGAGGTAACTCTAAATGCCTTATAGACAGAGGATGATACATAGTCAGCCCCTGTATAAATAATAAATCCCTTTTTGAAGTGGCCCCTATATATAACCCAGATCCCTATCTTGCCCATGTATAATCTTTAAAGTGACTCGGTATAATCTTGATCCCTTTCTAAAGTGGCCCCTATATATAACCTTGATCCCTGTGCAAACTGGCCCATGTATAATCTGGATACCTTTCTAAAGTGTACCCTATATATAACCTTGATCCCTGTGCAAACTGGCCCATGTATAATCTGGATACCTTACTAAAGTGGAACCTATATATAACCTAGATCCCTGTGCAAACTGGCCCATGTATAATCTGGATCCCTATCTCAAGTGGACCCTATATATAACCTAGATTCTTGTGCTAACTGGCCAATGTATAATCTGGATCCCTATCTCAAGTGGACCCTATATATAACCTCGATCCCTGTCCTGTGCTAACTGGCCCATGTATAATCTGAATACCTTTCTAAAGTGGCCCCTATATATAACCTTGATCCCTGTGCAAACTGGCCCATGTATAATCTGGATACCTTTCTAAAGTGGACCCTGTATGATCCAGGTCCCCTTATATACTGGCTTTGATATTTAGTCCCATACTCTCTGAAATTACATAGTGTCAAAACTCTGTCTAGTTTGGACACTGTCTAGTCTGGAAATCAGTATCAGTTAACTGGTCTTAATATATAAATATTTATTTAAACACCCTCTCCATTAAGCCTTTCAATTTTCCTTGGTTTTCTAGACCCAACAGGAGTTTATTATTGGCTGTTAAATTTGCCAGCTCTAGAGACTTTCATTGTAAATTATTGCAACTTAATTTGTTTTCATTCCTAAAGTTTTTAAAGAGCAAACTAAGGTATTTCTGTGTTCATTATTCAAAAGTTTCAAAACTTACAAAAACATTTTCTGAGCTTTTTGAATATTGTAATATTGCACTATGGGTAGGTACCAGCTCTAAAATGTTTTATAATCCTTGTCTCTAGCTTTATTCCAATTAGTAAGTCAAAGTTCATTATACTGAGGAGGGTAGGATCTGTACTGAGTGGCAGATAGGTTTCCTTTTCAGGAGTGCCAATAGGAGAATGTTGATGTGTTAGCATGTTGTATACATGTCTAGTAATTGTGGTGAAGTGCTCGGTGCTTCTTTTGTCTCTCTTATTACACTTTAACTTTATATTGTACACTTTGTTATTTTTAAAAAATACTCCTCATCTGTTCGTATTTATGTTTAATTTCTAAAAAAAAAACACTTGAAATATGACCACTTTGGCGGCCAAAGAAAATTCCCCTGGCTTTAGTCGGAGCGATTTTCTTTATATGGAGAGGCCATGGTCACCTTTTGATTTAACATAATAATTAATATTGTATAGAATTTCACAATTCAAGTGTCATTTTATTACATTCAAGAAGTTGTCGCAGGGAAACTTGAATATGATCAATCTTAAAGAATCCTCTATAAAGTAAAAATATATTTGAATGACTTCTATATATGTAAGGATAAACATACAAATATCCCTTTCACACCTAGGTAACTTTAGTAGACTCTACCGTACATATATCAGCTGGATGAGTCCATTATGATATCCAGTGGTGAAAGGGTTAAATAATATTTGGATAAGATGTTCTAATTTGATCTTGACGAGTCGAGGGAATTTTCCCGGAAAAAGTCTTGAGAGTATTAAAATGAAGTATGACTTGTGAAATTAGCATGTCCACGAGACATTTAGGAAAGACAAGCTCAGATTTTATTTTTCTGTTTTTCTGCTAAACCTGCAACAGTTGCTTTAATGTAGAACTGATCTATAGAAAACAATATCTTTATTTTATAAATTGGCACATTTTGTTTGATTTGTTTATTTCCAGTGATGATGAGTTTGATGATTATCCTGTTCCTCCCAGGTTGGTTTTGTCTTTGTCACTGATACCATACTCTACAGCAATACCTATAGTATATTGGACCGTACGATGATCTCTGTATTCTGTCACCCCTACTAATATATCGGCCAGGCTGGGTGAAAGCAGACGTCGTTTATAGTGTAGCTAGTATTTAGATACAGAAGAGGCTTATAAATGCACTCACTTGCTTCTATAGACTATCATCCTTGATATCCAGGGGTTACAGTCACTTCCGCTCTCTGAACCCCTGGAATTTGTCCTAGCACAGTCGAAGGCTCGGTGTACAGCACTTTGTGTGATGAGACAACACGACTAGATTGATCATTGCTGGCTTTGAAGTCGGGCGTCGCTCCTCTGTAATCTTCAAAGGGCAGGCATAAGCCTAGCGATTGGTCAGTTTTTTTTTACCTGACAGAATCAAATAACTAGCTGTGTGTCTTCACTTTTCCTATGGCATATTCCAGGGGTGTAGAGAGCGAAAGTGAGTGTTACTTCTGGATATTGAGGATGTTAGACTATGGTACAACCTTGTTATGTTGAAATCTGAAGTTTAATAGAGGTTTTGGCTGTATGGTTCTAAGCTTTATTTCCCAGGTTCAGCCTTTCATAGTTAATGTTTGGCCAAATGAACCAAATATGCAAAAATTGTATTAAACGTTACACCGCTTTATTCCTTTTATCTTATTATAGTTTTCACACGTAGACCTCTAATTTGTGAAGTTTACTATAAATGGAATGTTTTTAGAGCAGACATATAGAGAAATAATTCCCTTCTGTTATAAAACTTTATACAACATCCACTTATAGTCAGTAATTTACTTCCACTGGAACAAAACATGAAACACTTTTGTACAAGGTGTTTAAGTTCTTGGCAAAGTCACGACTGGATTTAAAAACTGGGACTTTTTCTAAAGACCCGCACCATCAATAACCATGCTTGAACAAGTAAGACATCACTCCAGTGGATTGTTACATGATGAGTTTTATTATTTTTCGTATTCTTGGCATTTTGCTTTCTATCATTATCGAAGGATGTTGAAGCTTTGATGCAACTCCACAAACAGCACTAGTTATTATATAGCCATATGACACATAAGCAAAGTGATATATGTGAGTGTGGTCTGTGTTGATGTCAGTGTCTACTGGCACAGACATGACACTCCAGTTATAACTGCTTTCACCCAACCTGGCTCCCAGATCTTCCTGAAATGGATTCTTATATAAACATTCTCTATGGAGTTTGCTAGGTTACCAACATTCTCTATGGAGTTTGCTAGGTTACCAACATTCTCTATGGAGTTTGCTAGGTTACCAACATTCTCTATGGAGTTGCTAGGTTACCAACATTCTCTATTGAGTTGCTAGGTTTCCAACATTCTCTATCGAGTTTGCTAGGTTACCAACATTCTCTATCGAGTTTGCTAGGTTACCTTAGTTCTCTATCGAGTTTGTTAGGTTACCTACATTCTCTGGCGAGTTTGCTAGGTTACCTTAATTCTCTATCGAGTTTGTTAGGTTACCTTAGTTCTCTATCGAGTTTGTTAGGTTACCTACATTCTCTGTCGAGTTTGCTAGGTTACCTTAATTCTCTATCGAGTTTGTTAGGTTACCTACATTCTCTATTGGGGTGCTTGGTTACCCAAGTTATCTACCGAGGTTTATAGGTAACCTATATATCCCTTAGGAAGCTAGACCTAATAATGATATTATTATTTTGCATTAACCTTAATTAATGATAAGCCAGTCTTATTAGTTTGAATCTGACATCTTAAATTTGACTCCCCTGGCCTTTTAGGGTCAGAGAAATGTATTCCATGACCTTTAGGGTCAGAGGAGTGTATTCCATGACCTTTAGAGTCAGAGGAGTGTATTCCTTGACCTTTAGGGTCAGAGGGGTGTATTCCATGACCTTTAGGGTCAGAGGAGTGTATTTCATGACCTTTAGAGTCGGAGGAGTGTATTCCTTGACCTTTAGGGTCAGAGGAGTGTATTCCATGACCTTTAATGTCAAAGGAGTGTATTTCATGATTGTAAGTGTCAGAGTAGTGTACATGTATTCCTTGACCTTTAGAGTCAGGGGAGTGTATTCCTTGACCTTTAATGTCAAAGGAGTTTATTTCATGACCTTTAGGGTGAGAGGAGTGTATTGCTTGACCTTTAGGGTCAGAGGGTGCACTCCTTAATCTTTAGGGTCGGAGGAGTGTATTCCTTGACCTTAGAGTCAGAGGAGTGTATTCATTGACCTTTAGGGTTGGAGGAGTGTATTCCTTGACCTTAGGGTCAGATGAGTGTATTCTATGACCTTTAGGGTCAGAGGAGTGTATTCCTTGACCTTTGGGGTCAGAGGAGTGTATTCCTTGACCTTTGGGGTCAGAGGAGTGTATTCCATGACCTTAAGGCTCAAAGGAGTGTTTTCCTTGACCTTAGGGTGAGAGGAGTGTTTTCCTTGACCTTAGGGTGAGAGGAGTGTATTCCTTGACCTTTAGGGTGAGAGGGGTGTATTACTTGACCTTTAGGGCGGAGGGGTGTTTCCATGGCATGTTTTCTGTCTGTCTGGCTACTTTGTTTTTGACCTGAGCTGCAAGAATATAGATTTAATTTTGTTCACATTATTAAAAGCTGAAATGTTTCTGACATTGACTTGGAGTCACACTTGTTGACCACACTTACTTTAACAGTGTACCCCAGCTGCATGCACTGTTTGTATAATTTTGGTGATAAATGATTCTCAGTAAATTAGAAATTCAACATATGCATGGACACCTTGAGCTATTGATTTGTTGTCTATGACATTTTTCAACCTTTGCTCAAGAACTAGGATTCAGAGATTGGAAAACTTGATATGTCTGCCATAACATCTTACTTATTTACCAAAGTATTGACTCTAGAATATCAGTTATAGTTATAATCAAACTTGTGTAAGGATTTCTTTTATTAGTGTGAACAATGTTTTGGTTAGCTATTATCCAGACTACCAGGCGTAAGCTACAGGCCTGTTTGGCCTTTTGTCTGTTGATGTAGTAAAATCAAGATTTTATTTTCACTCACAGCGTGTTACTGTATAACCTTACTGACTGTTTGTTGTGGAGGACCAGACTAATGTTATCACTGCTTCATTTTCTTTCTTTTATGTTTTGTTTTTTGTTTTTTTGAAAATGACCCTTCTTAATTAAGAATGCATTTGTTTGAAACATTTCTGTGACATCTGTTCAGTGAGTCCACCAACAGATGGTGGGCTGTGTAAATCGCCTTACAGGCGTGGTCCATTGTCTGTTTGTAGCTGTACTCATAAAATACTTGGTATCAATATTTCCTAAAACGTAGCACAGTAAGTCTCCTATGTTCCCTAGTTTTTCAGATTTGATTCTGAGCTTTAAGCTGTTTGATAAGAAGAAAAATTCAACTGTAAGAAATCAGAAATCTTTTGTCCTGGTTTTTACCCTTTACTGTTCTAAAAAGTAATTATAAAGAGGTCACCCAACAATCTCGCTTTGGAAGAAAAATGAAAGACACAGCAGGTTTCAGTTTTGATCAAAGACATGACTCAATGAGTAACACACACACAGGTGGTGTCTTTAAACAGATTCAAATCACAAGGAAATCACTTCACTATTGGGGATAACTTAAAGTGGTCTCTTAACACAGGTGGTCTCTTAACACAGGTGGTCACGTAAACAGGTGTAACTGACAGTGGTTTACAGGACAGTTGTTAAAGTAGAGGGGCTGTCTGTCTGTCTGTTTTAGGCACAGCATGTAGTCTGTGTCAAGTTGTTGGAGACTGTCATAAATATTTGCATATCATGATTTCTACCTACATATGTACCTGCCTGGCTTGCCCATTCACTTGCTTGTTTCTCTGATCTGTATATAGCCTGTATACGGTTCATATCACCAATGTTGAAAGATAATCTGTTCATTTGTTATAATCCACATCATAATAATTATATGCCACAGATTATATTTCAATATTTCGTTTCTTTTCGTTGGTTTATATTTGATTAATTTTACATCTATTTTCCTTGTTAATGATATTAATAATTTTATTATTTTCTCGTTAATGATTTTAATAATTTTCCCCTTAATGATATTAATAATTTTATCATTTTCCCCTTAATGATATTAATAATTTTATTATTTTCCCTTGATGATATTAATAATTTCATTATTTTCCCATTAATGATATAAATAATTTTATTATTGTGTTGATGAGTAATCAAATTGGCCTGTAAATTCAAGCCTGAATGACCAGAATTGGTAACTTTGAAACCATTCTTAATTTAAAAAAAAATAGTTTTTTAAGTTAATTTTTCCTTAAATTTCAATTAAATGGAAAATAAAAAAATTAAACTATTTTGTCAAGAAACCAGATTTCTGATATAGAACAGCAACTGTTTTGTTAAAAAACATATTTTGTTAACATTTGAGAGGATTGTTGAGTGTAAGATATTAAAATTGTGTTATCTTGTTTTCATCAAAAGGAAATATTAAAAAACTGAGAACTGGACCTGGTAGAAGAATTGATATAAAATGTATAGATAGTTTCAGTGATTTTTGTAGACTCCAATATTTGAGTCCTGAACTCATCCTTTTCCTGTGGGACTTGACAACTTTTAAAAATATAAGGATCCATAATATCTCTTAGCAATGGGACTTTTGGAAAAGATGTTGATTATTCGCTTGAAAAAATTCTACGAAAATCACTCTAGTTTATTGAACCAAATTCAAATTGCTTCCTGCTTCAAGTACTTAGCTCTACTTAAATTAAAGATCTCATTCAAAATTGAAAAATAACACTTGGAGAGTAAAGGAAATGGGATGGGGTCACAGGGAGTGGGGTGAAGGACCTGCCAGATGAATGGGTCAGAATATTGTAATATATTGATGTAGAATGTCATATTGTAGTGCTAGACATCATCTCTCACTTACTGGTCAGAGATATGTAATTGTAATAAATATGACACTGACATTTCATCAGCATGAACATAGATTAATGAATTACATCAGTGTATTTGGATGTGTAGGAAAATTAGAAAATTTCTTCTTTAACTCATTCACCCCCGAAGTCACATTTGAACTCTTTCAATTCAAAGGTTAGAATAGTTCATTATCACATTTCAGGGGTGAATGAGTTAAAGAAACAAATTGCACAATTCTAACAGTGGCGGCTTCCTAGTGATTTTGTAGTGTTGTTGTTTTTTTTAGATTTTTTTTATTATTAAATAATTTATGATTAGGTCTTTCTTGTACTTCATTGTTTGGTTCTTTAAAGAATGTCATTATTAAAAAGCAATTCTTTCAATTATTCCTTTCTTATAATAATGTATATTTAATTCAAATGATACAATAACAAAATGAACAGGCTTTTACCAGCTGTGACCACATATGCTAGGAGACCAGTTTTAATAATCCTGGTAAAAAAAGGCAGCATAAAAGATTGTTGAGTTAATTTAAGATAACAGAAACCTAGATTAAAGAATGAAATAAAAGATTGTTGAGTTAATTTAAGATAACAGAAACCTAGATTAAAGAATGAAATAAAAGATTTCAAGATTCTAGAAATGCAGATAATATGGAAACAGACTTAAGTCTTGTAATAAAAAAATCAGATTACAGAGAGAAAAGATTATAGAGATTGAGATTAAAGGAACGTTGTTTACCCAGACAGGGATAATAGAGACTAAGAATTTGTTTTATGGACAGATATTGGAGTATTGACACAAATTATTATAGAGATGAATTATAGGTAGTTTTTAGAGACAAAGATGATGGCAACTTTGATAATAGCTAGGGGGATTATCTATACTTGGGTTATAGCTAGGGGGATTATCTATACTTGGGTTATAGCTAGGGGGATTATCTATACTTGGGTAATAGCTAGGGGGATTATCTGTACTTGGGTTATAGCTAGGGGGATTATCTGTACTTGGGTAATAGCTAGGGGGATTATCTGTACTTGGGTTATAGCTAGGGGGATTATCTATACTTGGGTAATAGCTAGGGGGATTATCTGTACTTGGGTAATAGCTAGGGGGATTATCTGTACTTGGGTAATAGCTAGGGGGATTATCTGTACTTGGGTAATAGCTAGGGGGATTATCTGTACTTGGGTTATAGCTAGGGGGATTATCTATACTTGGGTAATAGCTAGGGGGATTATCTGTACTTGGGTAATAGCTAGGGGGATTATCTGTACTTGGGTAATAGCTAGGGGGATTATCTGTACTTGGGTTATAGCTAGGGGGATTATCTATACTTGGGTAATAGCTAGGGGGATTATCTGTACTTGGGTTATAGCTAGGGGGATTATCTGTACTTGGGTAATAGCTAGGGGGATTATCTGTACTTGGGTAATAGCTAGGGGGATTATCTATACTTGGGTTATAGCTAGGGGGATTATCTATACTTGGGTAATAGCTAGGGGGATTATCTGTACTTGGGTTATAGCTAGGGGGATTATCTATACTTGGGTTATAGCTAGGGGGATTATCTATACTTGGGTAATAGCTAGGGGGATTATCTGTACTTGGGTAATAGCTAGGGGGATTATCTGTACTTGGGTAATAGCTAGGGGGATTATCTGTACTTGGGTTATAGCTAGGGGGATTATCTATACTTGGGTTATAGCTAGGGGGATTATCTATACTTGGGTAATAGCTAGGGGGATTATCTGTACTTGGGTAATAGCTAGGGGGATTATCTGTACTTGGGTAATAGCTAGGGGGATTATCTGTACTTGGATTATAGCTAGGGGGATTATCTATACTTGGGTTATAGCTAGGGGGATTATCTATACTTGGGTAATAGCTAGGGGGATTATATGTACTTGGTTATGATATTATAAACAACTCCATAGTAGATGAATAGCTTTCATGCTCTTGGATTATTGGTTCTGAAAAGTATCTGAATGGATTATGAAATATTTGGATTGTGGAATAAATAGATTGTAGATGATGGGCTTAAAAGGTAAATGTATTTAGAGGAAATACATTACAGGTACATGTACTTGGAATGGGATTAAGGGATTATAAGTACTTGGATTATAGAGTAAATGGATTATAGGTACTTGGATTATATAGTAAATGGATTATAGGTACTTGGATTATAGAGTAAATGGATTATAGGTACTTGGATTATAGAGTAAGGGATTAAGGATCTTTCTGTTCAGAGAAGACAGTTTTGCTGTATAACTATAGTGAGGTAACAGAAGACGGTTGATTTCAGCTCCATCCCAGATGAGGACGCGATGCCACAATCTATAGAGCAGGAACAAGTTGAACAGATAGAGCAGGAGGAATTTGAGGAGGACGCCTTCCAGGTGATCGGCACGTGTCGGGCGGTGTACAAGTTTGATGGTAGGTACATCTCAATAGTCTCCTGTACCAGTCTACGTAGTCCTACAAATAGGTAGCAGCTCAGTGAGACACAATTCTGTTACAATGATTTGGAGCGAGCATCTTGTATATCTAGTCCCGGTGTCTTCTATCCTTGTTAACTTGAGATAACTGAAGTTTTGTATAAATCTTTATCATGCAAATGTCTTCTATCCTTGTTAACTGAAGATAACTGCAGTTTTGTATAAATCTTTATCATGCAAATATCTTCTGTCCTTGTTAACTTGAGATAACTGCAGTTTTGTATAAATCTTTTTCATGCAAATGTCTTCTATCCTTGTTAACTTGAGATAACTTTAGTTTTGTATAAATCTTCATCATGCAAATGCTTTGTTTCATTGCGTCACTGTGACTGTATTTAAGTGTATAATCTTACAACTGAAAATAACTATTAGAAGTTGTATTTGTACATTGGCAGTTTATACAAAGTAAAAAGAAGTCATAGATTTTGGACACTAAAAAACATCAGTGTGATTGGGGATATGTATGAGGATATTATAAGTTAGCTACAAATTGAAGAAATGTCAAAGTATTAACATTTTATCAAAAAATTATTAGATTATGTGTATTTATCTACAAAGTTAAGAGACAAATAATTATGGTCTATGTGTACTTCTGGACGATTTTGTCGACACAATAGCCTCATGTTTTTGCCGTCTGTGATATATCAGATGAATATATAAGTGTTGAAACGCTTAATGTTTGTGTACTTGTAGCTGATAACGGGAGCTCTGTGTCGATGGAGGAAAACGAGGAGATGGCGGTGATAGAAATAGACCAGGGTGACGGCTGGACACGTGTACGTAGAAAGGATGATTCTGAAGGGTTCGTACCCACGTCCTATATACAGTGTCACTTCTACGATCAAGACGAGGTTTGAGGCCCTAGCGACCATCAGTCGGACAAATGAAGTCTGGAAGGATGTGGCCTCGAGCAAGGAGCTCTACTTCCCGACTTCTACAACCAGCAATTTTATCGTCTTGGCTAAAATAGCCAGGATTTCATATTATAAGGCATTGAAGCTACTACAATCTGTATGTTGGGACTATAATGCCACAATTCATGGGATGTCAGTAACAATGACCATAGCCTAGCTGTATTAGCGTGATCCAGACCTGGTCATAACCGTAAAGACTAGACAGGCCCTGTCAGATAGCTTGGTCTTAAGCAGACACAGACCTGTGACCCAGTATTATATAATTTAGCTGCAGACTTGTGAGAACATAGATCAGCTTTTCGTGTCTGCAGGGATGTAGCAGTTGGACAGTGATAAGTAATTTACAGGCTTGATTGGCCCAAAAGACGATTATAATTGGTGGACTGGGTGGGCCCTGACGGCGGATCCTCGTTGGATAATAAACACTTGTGAATAGCCTGTGAGCAGTCTAGGAAAGGGCCAGTGGACAGCAATGATTTGTTGATTGCTTAAAGTGGCCAAGGAGATGGTCACTGGACAAAAATTACTTTTGATGGCCTGTAGCGGCCAAGGAGAGGGTCAGTAAAATTTCGCCACTAGAAATGTTCAGTGGAATTCACACCAAAGGGACATAACCACTGGTTCTACTAACACATGAAACATTTTTTGCCAAACCAAATAGTGAGATATACTATTCAGGTTTATATAGCTGCCAGCTTTCGATGTGTGTTCATGTGTTGACGGAGAAGAAACATTGTTTTCCCAGTAAAACCATTACTCAATACTGTATATAGTCCTGTGTATTTTAAAACGTCCTGAATTCACTTTTTGTTCAATCATTGCTGTGTCATCGGAATGGATGAAAGATGATAAAGTCATCAGATTGGATCGCTGAGTCATCAGAATGGATGAGACTTACTGTTTAATCAAATGTTCGGAATCTGTTATACAGATTTCTATTAGAGAAGTTCTATATTCTTCTTCCTCCCAACACTAGCTTGTTTTCAGACAGAGCAAGTGATTTCGGGTCACATCGCTATTTTTGTCAAACTGTGTGTAGCACATTTCATTTGAAAAGAGATTTCATATCAGATATTGATGACAGTGTTTTAAAGACCTTTTTGTTAAATCGTTCATTTTGGTCACTGTTTTTCCAACCATTGAAATTAAATTCCGACATACGTTGTATTGAACATGCGGTGTACTGCTTTAGAATTAATCCATCTTATGATGTACAGTTCAACCTGGGGTATCTGGACTAAAATAAATTATCATTCTGGGGATAAAATCATCCACCAAAATGTGTACATTACTGTGGTTCCTCTGTAGGCTGTGTGCTGACCAAAGTTTTTTTTACACTTTTGATAAAACATTTCTTCAGTCAACAGAAAATTATTGCATTTGTTTGCAACATTTTACTACATGTATCATGTATTATCTTCCTTTCTTCCTATAACTCGCCCTTTTTTCATATCAAACTTCAATTTTGATTGATTTGTGACTTTATTTCTCGATAGTTTCCTGTTTTCTGATCCAGAGGCGGGATTATCATTTGGACCAAGCTATCAATAAAATTCTCAATTGTCAAAATCAGATTGGCAACTGTTTCATCCAAAATGTAAAATGAAACTTATTTTTGCAAAAGTCACCTCTATACGTGATAAAGTGAATGTATTGGAGAAAGCCAAATATGTAGCTTTTCAGAGGACTGTTTTAATTTTGACAATTCAAGGGAAGCACATTCTGAGGTAGAGGTATAGACCCAGCACTGGTGATCCCTTCACAATCATAACTTGTTCTAGGGCTCTTCTCAAGTGGAGTTATCTCCCTTCGAAGATACTGATTCACATATTTTGAAATCTCTTAGATAATTTCACAATCAATGACGATATTACTCATGAAAATGCATTTAATCAGTTTCAGATGTGTTTCTTGTTTTAACAGTCTTTTTGAAGAGATTTTTACCCAATTATAATACAGTATAGTCTGGAATAACATTTTATCAAACCAATTACTCATTTAATAACATATTTAGTTAAGTTTTAGTCCATTTTTTTCTCCAAACTAACTACAAAGTGTCGTCCCCTGCTTGTAGTTATGGTGGTCATTCCAATTCCCATAAATTATGTCCAAAGAAATAATGAGAAAAAGCATGAATTGTGATTTTGCCCTGATGCTGATTAAGATGAAGTTTGAAGATGTTGTATAGAGTGATATACAGCTTAATCACACACTGAGATCAAATTAAAATATCTGGTATTGCATAAATCATTAAACGTGAATCTTGCAACCTAATTGTTCTGAAACATAAATGATCATCTCGAAAGATTGTAAAGCTGATTCACTATGTTTAAAATGTTAATTTTTAGACAAATATCATTTTGAAAAATGAACTTTACGTAAAGATACGAGAACGTGTTACATTTAGTTAAGTATACAATGTATATTTAACAAACTAATAACATTGGTTCGGAAGAACTAGGATTACAGTATATAATATGTTATTGATCTACTATAAGAGGATACAAAAGGATCTTGATGTTTAAACATGTTAAATGGCATGGCCATACACAGGGACTTGTGTGGATAATTATTATAATTAATATGTGAAACTCAGTATTACAACTATATATATATATATATAACTGTAAATTTCACACGCTGAACGTATTTATGACACATTTCCACAAATCAATTGACAAGTAGTGTTGTAAATAATACTTTGTCAGATAACGGCTGGTGCCTATTACAACAGACTAACTAGGAACCAGAATTTATATCACGAATTCATTGGAAAGGATTTTAATGTGAACATTTATGTACGTCTGTATGTTCCCTTCAGACACTTGTCTTTGATCGTAACATGCATCAATTTTACCTTCATTATTTACGAACATTTTACAATTTTCCATTGATGAATCATCTATAATACCGCCTCCAGATACTTTACAATCACAAAGATTATTTTAAAGTCGCATGGCATCACAATCGAGGCTCAGTTTCTGTTTTTTTAAGTCGTGTACACATAGGGATAAATCTGCCTTGTCTTGGTGAGTGTTGGCTTCAAGTGGTCTATATAAATTAGTGTTAAATTATTGTAACAAGTTATTTCAAATCATGCATCGTTATAATGACATTGAGTATATATACAGGTATTTTTAGCTACTAATTAACAATCTAATCTATTCTGAGTGGTCTGCAACTTTACCATTTCAATATAGAAATGCCTACTGTAATTTGAGATATGACTTGCATTACACGTCACAAAAGCAATGGTTTTTCTCTACCCAGGCTCAACCTTACAATCAATTCCTTCAGTGTTAATGCCAGTTATACATCACTACTCAATTACGAATCATACTTGTGCACTGTGTGTTGGTATAAAATGTTTTAAATACTGTAGTTTGTTTTAAAAAGCTTTTAATCATAGTTTTTCTCCTGGTACAGACATGTCCTTGTTCACAGTTTTGGTACTTACTGAACAGTACTGGAAGATGTCTGGATAGGACGGACAAACATTTTAATACCTCAAAACATTCTAGAATAGTATACCGGTATATAAAAAAAACAACGTTTTATGTCATCGTTCATTAGCTGACTTCCACTTATAATGAAGCTAATGTTTCATTGCTAGGTACTTTTGCAAGTCTAAACCTCACAATCAAGGCTAATGATATTTGTCTAATGTAAGGACATTAGCGTTTTTCCAAAAAAGTTCTAGTCATGGAAAATTATTTTTTTCAAATCCTTTATTCCGTTTGGACAATAATTCATCACATCTGAATTGATGCACAAACATTGATGTCATAATAATGCTGATTGGAAACTGCTAATGATAGTTAACGTTTACACACAGATGTATGTGTGACTGTAGCATATAACCTGAATTTTACCATCTGAAATAATCCTCTTGTGCTCTTAAGTTGATAATAGACTTGAATACGGGACAAACATTGAACAAGAGGCACAATTTAATGGACCAAATTTCACTTGAAAGGCTAAAATTTAGTATATTTAAACCTAGGGTACCGCGGTATACCACAACAATGTATACTTACTGTAGGTTAATAGTCAATCACTTTGTGTAGAGAAGGACATTTGATGAACTAGCATGATTTTATTTTGAAAGTCTATTATTAAGCTGATTAATTGTATGATGTAGGTGGGAAAAGTGCCTTTAGGGATTTTTAATTAATGTCTGTAGCTTAATCATAACTCAAATGTAGCTTTTCTCATTAGTCAAATATGGCCCTTATCATCAGTTAAATTAAATGTAATCCCTTTTCATTGGTCAAATTTAGCCCTACTCATCAGTCAAATATAATCCCTTTTCATTGGTCAAATTTAGCCCTACCCATCAGTCAAATATAATCCTTTTTCAAAGGTCAGATTTTTTTAGTCCTTCTTATCAATCAAATGTAGCCCTTTTCATCACTCAAATGAAGCCATTTTCATCATTCAATTGTGGCCCTTTTCATCAGTCGTGCAATAATTTCATATATACCTAATCACGTATTCCAAGAGAGTTTGTACTATTTCAGTGTGATTTCATGTGTGTACCACAGCCATTCATACAAACCATCGGTAATGTAGACCACCTTCAGTATAATTGTCCTATTAGTCTGGATAATGTTAGGATCTGTTAACTGATTATATGGTACAGCTATTAGTATACAAAATCGTAATGTGGTCTGGTAAAAATGAACTCCCTGAATTCCCTCAATGTGTTTATATGATTCTCACACTCTTTTACAGTAAGTTGTAATTCCGTAAGGTATATTCGTTAGAAACCAAGTATAGTAAAGTGTTTTTCCTTCATATTTGAATTAATTTCACTCCATGTTAGTTGTTTGGTGATGATATTGTGAGTAGTTAAATCAGGGCATGTTATATAGGTATACTTGTATTGAAGGTACCTACGATACATGTATGTACCACGTTTCGGATTTGGGAGATTTTGTAACTAGGCTGTAAGCAGGAATCTAGCAGACCAAAGCCAAGCACAGAAATATTCCATCATCTTTTCACAGTTATTGAAATTTATTACCAAACTGTACTCATCTCAAATCAAAATGTTCAGGAGTTTCTTTCGACATGACAGTGTTACAAATTGCAAGGTACAGTGTAGTCTGGAACATTGGAGTTAATTGGAAATGTCCTGTTAAGCTTGCCATGAACATCTTATGTATACTAGTTCTATAGTATAAAAACTCGCCTTACAATGTTTAATCTATAACATGTATTTTATAACGTCAGAGTCTAAAAGCATTATGGACAGAGAACTAGTTTATCCTTATAATTATCCACTAATCAAAGTATGCTAAACAGAGTTGATGTTGACACCAAGCCCATATCAAACAGATTGCCGGGTTTTTATAGGGAAACGTCTCGGATCAAATCATATGCTTAATTGCTAGGATGATGTACCAAAGGTATATATGGTTGATTCATTGAAACAATTCCTCGTTAATGAAATGATTGATCAAATGTTTGGACTTGGGAAGGATGGCTAACCATAAGTCTGTTTTTAACGTCCCTCGATGTACAGACATTCTCCAGTTCAAATGATGCGTCTTTGTTTGGTCAGAACTCTACCTGGACTGTTCATGTTGTATGTTGGCAAGGTAATAGCCTGTTATTTGAACTGGAGATCTTTACATCACAGGACCCAAAATACAGGTTATTTGGATTTTATACATGAGAGTACTAGTGTATCCAATGTATATATATACTTTTACCTTTTTTATGATCGGTGGACCAATGTTTCAACACTGCTAAGGATAGTCAACAATGTTCGGGGATAGTATTAAATATGATATTGACATGTGGAGTAAGATATCCAGGTTTTACCTGCATGTCCTCTCTATACACTGGAACTACTGTACTGCTGGAATACTCATGTCTATAGTGTCAATTATAACCACGCCTATATCTATCAGCCACCTTTTACAGTGTACACTTAGTTATAATTTTAGAAGTGTCCCTTGATGCACTGCCAAATGGACAAATCTTAACCAGCATGTCCTGTAGATCTATGTACACATGGGTGAATAGACCTCCTGCGAAAAGCACATCTCCTATTGTTTCTCAAAAATTATACAACCAAACATCTCAAAGTTCCAAAAGGCATTGATTTTTGCTGGTTCATTAAACGCCACATCAAGACCAGATGAAAGCATATTGACACAAGAACAAACCACATGCAGGTGCATAAATTCTTTTGAAATTTTTCGGATTGTAGACAAATTACAATAACGACAGACAATTGCATTGCATCAAGGAGAGCTTCAAACGTAAAGAAATTCCCGGTAGGCTTGGTAGATAGGTTTCTCTGTAGTGTATAAATAAAATCCTTCAAGAAATTGACTCTGTCCCTCATTTTCTCTTATGATATTTGACTAAGTTGTACACTTAATTTTAATCACTGTATATAAACTTGTTGTAAATTCGTGTACATTTTTTTACCAGATTGTAGATTATGGGGCAGTCTATCGTATCAAATTAGTGTATAGTGCTTAGATGTATTGCCGGCATGGTAGTAGATATACCTAGTATATAAATATATATATATATATATAAACGTGTAGTCGAGAACGTAGACCTACTAGAATGCAATATATTATTATTATTAATCTATTATGCTCATGTTCAATGGCTGGTACTCATGTGATGTTAACCATTTTGTTTTGTTAACACATTATTTCATCAACAAATCTTATTAGTCGATGTCGACACAATTTAGTCATGTGATTTTATATGATGCTTGTTTTATTGATTTGGAATGTTTGAGCTTGTTTTTGGAGAGTTGTCTGAGAATTGATGTTGGGTAAGGTGAGTATGTGGGTGAGGAACGTCTGTGCTGTAAGCAACAAAACATTGATTGGATTCCAGTAGCTATGATCCCATTCACCTTTCCTGAACGATAGTTTATTGTTTTTCCTTAACTCATATGCATTCACCCCTGACGGCACATTTGAACTCTTCCAATTCAAAGTTTGGAATAGTTCATTATGAAATTTCAGGTGTGAATGAGTAATAGGAAGAACATACTATCATTTGGGGTAGCTAACAGATTAATACAGTAATATAAAACATATTTTGTTTCGGAGACCTACTATAATTTGCCTATAGATATATCGACAAATATGCATTGTTACATGTTTTGGAAGTAGACACCATTGTCCAGGCATGTTTCACAAAACAATGTCTGAATGTATCGCTGTTTTTCTTGTTGGTTCAGAATCATGTTTTTGGCATTGTATGATATAGGTTCAGTGTTTATTGGCCATTGTTGTGCATAGAAGAAAGAAATAGAACGTTAATTTGTCAGCCATTAGCTTATCAAACTTTTTGAATCAAGCTCCGTTAGAACTCCCAATCTTATTACCATCATAAAAGTTTTGTTACCCAATAATTAACATGAAGTTTGTTGTGTTCATAAGATTAATATCAGGCCTCCGTTGAAAATTAACTGCTGTCGAGAAATCTTTGCTAGTTTTTCAGAAATAGGTAACTGGAATCATAGCTGTTATTTGATTTGTGATTGTGATATTATAAGGATTGTACAACAGAATGAGAGAAAGTTTCAATAGATTTGTGTTGCTACGAATGGCCTGTTGATTGGTCAGTAGAGCGTGGGGAGAAATGTGTGAAATGTGTTTCTGTGTGAAATAGTGAGTGTTTCTGTGTGAGATAGTGAGTTTTCTGTGTGAGATAGTGAGTTTTCTGTGTGAGATAGTGAGTGTTTCTGTGTGAGATAGTGAGCGACTCATTCGCTGTCCTGTCAGCATTTTGATATTCTATTCAATAGCACGTACTTAATGTATGAATGTTGCCTATTTAAATCAGTGTTTGTATTTTAACGTGTAACTTTGGTGATTGTGGCGATGTTAAATGTTCAGCTATACAGCCTACATTTGTTTTTCAACTGTTACTACTAGAATAACCCTACATGTACCCGTGTAGTATCTTATCTCTCCTTAACATTGTGTACGCTTTTCATGTGATTGTGTCTCTCCTTGTGATAAAATATCATCTACCCTGTCCCTCTTATTCATCTATTATATGTTAATGAGATAATCATGATTATATTCAGCTGATTAATTTTTACAAAGATACCAGTTTTACAGAAAGATATTGCATTGTATCACAATTGTTCATATATATTCATCCGTACATAAGCCAGGAAGAATTGAGATGAGTGGTTGACGCACTGCCTTCAATGTGTGTCACAGATCATGCAAGTGGATAATACAACAGAGGCGTGCTTTACAAACCTGACATTAGAGAAACACTGGTTTGTTTACACCAGTTGTTGTGAACGTTTGGTAACCACAACTGCGTTTACTTCAGTATTGGACGGCTTTGTTGGGTGTGTTTACATCAAAATTGGTCTGCCATGTTGGGTGTGTTCACTTTCAGCGTTGGTCGGCCGTGTTGGGAGTGTTCACTTCCAGCGTTCGTCGGCCGTGTTGAGTGTGTTCACTTTCAGCGTTGGTCGACCACGTTGGGTGTGTTCACTTTCAGTTTTGGTCGGCCAGGTTGGGAGTGTTCACTCTCAGCGTTGGTCGTCGTCTATGTTGGGTGTGTTCACTTTCAGTGTTGGTCGGCCACGTTGAGTGTGTTTAATGCAAAGTTGACCAGCTACACAGTGTGTTCCGAGCAATGTCGATCGGTAAGATGGAGTTGTTCATTTTAAGTTTGGATTGAAAGCCAATGGTGAATGTGCTTACTTCAATATTGGTGACTAACGCTGGCTTTTCTGAACTCATGTTGCAAGGCTTCATTGAGCTTGTTACATAAATGTCAGTAGCAAACAAGTTGTTTGTAAGTAACGTTTAGTTTGTTCTGTTAATTGTTGGCAGCGCTCAGCTTGTTCACTCCAATGCTGATCGGCAACGCTGAATTTGTTCACACCGATGCCTAGACTCGGCGCGCTATCTTAGCGTGATGTTATAGAAGCGAAATGCTTCTCTCTTCCTTACAATAATTGGGGTCGTGCCAAACAGAGACATTCACTTCTTGTATTTATTTCATAACATTTATATTACATGCCCTTATTAAACTCCAAATTTGCAATGCAAATGGTACAGTTTGAATGTAAAGATAATAAAAGTCATTCTGCTATATCTACACTTGTTTGTTGTAATTAGTAATGCTAGACATACAAGTGCCTTAATCGTCTGAAGGAAAGCATTAACTATCATTTGTAAAAAAAGTCAAATATTGTCAAAAACAATGCACACATAACTAAAATGAACAAATATATGCTAAGATTTTCATGGTTTATGTTCCGAACGACACAGTTTCCCTTACATTATTGGTGCCCGTTATTGATCAACTTGGCGGCTGTCCTGAATTTTGGCTGTTCCATATTGCAAATATATATATCATTCTGAGATTCAAGCTGCTTGATCAGAAAAAAATATGACTGCCCGAAATGAGAAATCTTTCTTGATATCTATTTACACCTACACATAATGCTAGTACTGTGCTAGTAAATAGGTCGAACGACAATCTCAGTCCGAAAAGACAATGTCAAACATTAGTAGTATGACATTTTTATGAAAGTTACCACATGATCCCTCTAGTATTGGTATCTTGTTTTTCTTCAAAAACCGATAGTCTGCCAAATTTGACAAAAAGAGTCGTCTGTCTAATTCATTCATTCATTCTATGGGCAGCAAAATAGTTTCCTCTGTAGGTAAACGTTTTTTTCTCCAAATACCAGTAAAGTTATAACGTTGTATGACTGTAATGGGATAGTGGTTTGATGCTTTTTACGTTATTGGCAGATATCGTAAAACGGCGTTCTGAAGTTCTGGTACAGCGGGTAGAATATAAAACAGACAAGCGCATTAGACAAAACAAAGGGACACTGTTACGTTCAATGTGATATCAAAGACGAAAGTAACGTTGAGTATGTGGAAAAATCGACATCGTATATAATTACCCAAACCTTAACTTTTGTCAAGCGATACAACCTTTAATGATATAAACAATGAGGAATTTACAAAAACGTGTCTGGAATTCGAAACATTTAAATAATATATTCAATATTAGCTAATTTTATAACAGTAATACCTATTGGTAAATGTTTCATTTTAAAAGATGATAAAATATTTTAGAACAATCCCAATAGTAAATCCTTATGCACGCTTCATTACAAGGAGCCTGCATTGGCGAGGTTTTCATTTTGCATCTATAACAATAAGAAAAATCGCTGGAAACATTTAAACCCACACATATCCTTATTGCATATAGACTTACTTTGGTATATATTTTGCTCTTTCAGCCAAAAAAGTAAAACTCGTTCAAATGCGTTTGGCCGTCAACATTTTCTTGAAAAGATATTTACAATGGGTAAATCACATCACATCATGTGATGTAAAGCACCAACTCCAGTCACACTCTCAACTTAACATGCACTATATACACCAACAGCGCGGCACATATCCTCTTCATATTGAATGCCCGGTTTAAAAATAATCACGTGCACACATACAAGAAGTGTTTGTCATCAAGTAAACATGGTTTTACCTTTTAATGAAACGAACCGTTCCGTGGCCTCGATTTGACATCAGTTTTTTCCTTGTTCTTTTCTTTCAGTGAACCGTGTCTTGCCCTCGTTCTAGGTTCTGACAATGACTCGTCTGATGCTATCGTTGATGGTGACCCTAGTTTCATATCTGGCATTGACCGTTTCTTCTTCAATACCCGTTTTTTGTCCTCAGTCTCTTTACTTTGCTCATTACTTCTTTCAGTAAGATCAATATCGGGATAGTCGTTTTCAGCTCTCCCCATTTTGCGCATTCTACAAGCCCCGCTCTCTGATGTTTTTCTGTAAAGACTGACGTCATTCTCCTTACCCTCTGCATCGTCAGCGTCATATTTTATTGTAGATTTCAACTCGTTTTCCGATTTACTTGATTTTTTCAAAGAAGATTTCTTTCCAGATCTACTGGGAGAATTCTTCTTATCCGAAACCAACAATTTCGTTTCATCCTTTAAAGGAGATGCGTGCGCGTCTTTGTTGACGCTTAACTTCCTGTCACGTTCAGGTGACGAAGAGACAGCTCCATCTTGAGAGTTATTATTTCTACAACTCTCGTCATAGTTCGGTTTCCGATCTTTCTTTGGGGTTATTTGAGTCTGTGTTATGTCTTTGTGTACATCATCTGTACTACACTTCCGTGTAAAGATTGACAATCTCGACAAACTTTCCGCATTCGACTGCACCCAAACATCGCTCATGGCTCGCTGAAGTAACTTCCGGTGATTTATGTCCGAAGAACTTTTTCGAGGTCTCCGCACGGAGGAAATAAATTCGGGATCACCGACCCAAAGATCTGCCATATCCGGTTGATCAGAAGTACTGGACAGTTTTCTGGTACGTCCAGTAGACGTGGTCATGCCTGTTACGGAAGGACGGCCATGCTGGATCTGCTTGGCACCGCCCAGTGTCGGGATATCCTCATATTCGAGCGACTTCCGGCGACCAGATCGATATCGCACTGGGTCTGTGTCTGTTCCCGTTGTTCAAAACAAAATAAAAATAAAATATGATTAATCGTGTTAGTTTGCGTATAAAATCTGTACAGTTATACAACCAGCAACGTTCATTCACAATTGATGAATTTGGCAGCAGGTTTATGTGAAAATATGGCACATATTCTTGATAAGATTAATTTACATAATTTCTGTAGGACAAGGTTTTTTGTTTAAGATTGTTGACGAGCTACTAAACAGATTATATTGCGGAATAACAGTGCAGAACTTCTAACCAATCTGGTTTTGAATCTATTGAAACTTATTGTTATAGAAGGGCTTTTACTAAAAGGAGATAAGAAACTTAAATTCACCCTAAGTGATATTGATGATATTTGAAAAACAAGATTTTCGAGAACTGCTTAATCTCATTGACCATCAAGAACTTTAAACCAAGCTTCAACTTTTTTTTCACAATCTCCGAAATCCAAAGGGTCCGGGTTCGTGATAATTTCTATGCATCTTTGAAATATGTCGTGTGGAATGATAAGGCTCAAAGTGTACAATTTAATTTGTTTCAGACATTAAAAAACTGACCAAATGGTAGATCTTTGGAGATTACAGAGGAGTTAAATCAAAATCAAAGACAGTCAGTTTTACCGTTATGCTGCCTAGCGATGCCTTTTCCAGACCAGTCAATTCATTTCAGATATTTGATTGGTCAATCAAAATAATTTGCGAAAGTATAACCATCACATTTCTCATTTGCATATGAAGTCCGGATGACGATTGTTAATGACGTCAACGACTTTGAATGACCCTGACGCGGCATTGAATTGATTAAACATGACGTCACGAACAACAGCATGACCCGGAAAGTTCAGATAATTCCGCCTCACTTTGGATATTTCTGACGTTACTAATCCACGGCAGAGTGACCTAGAATTTGAAGAAAACACTCAAAAAATCGCCGTTTCGTATGAAGGGTTTGGCTTATATGAATTAGATTGGGGATAACCCTACTGTATTTTGAAATACAGTACTGTCGCAAATGTATGTTTTACTTGATCCGCTCCAAGTCACTAGTAAAACTCAATTTGCGACAGTATAATCACGATATACCGCTGCAAATTTCAAAATACAATAGGGTTATCCCCTTATTATATATATTCCTGGGATGTACAGAACTCATGTCTTTCGTGAACGGAACCTTGGACATCGAAAAAGCCCGCTTCCAACCTTGACATTAACTATATTATGACGATAATGGTCATTTTGCTTGGTCTTAGACAAACATGACGACTTGCGTATTGTTAACTTTCTTCTATCAATTGTATGTGTACCATTCGAGACTCTGCTTATGAAATTTGCTTGTTGCATTAGACTCGCTACTCGAAAGCTTTTCTAGATAGCCATTGCCGTTTAAAAATGACCTTTTTAAACAGAAATTTTAGATGGATTTCTTCTTGAGGTGGGTTCAGACTGCAAAGACATTTTTATGACCATCGCCTAATTTTTCTATTTCCCTGTTGTATATGATTACCGACTTAGTGTTCTTTATGGTTTCGTTGTTACTGTCGCGGTTCTCACTTTAACAGCCTGACATTACTTGGTTTGACCTAGATGTACATACTAGGTGTCGCCGATGAAGCAGAAAAGGCTTACCCCTCTGGAACACTTGGTTTGATCCTTTATGCTTTTTTCAAGGGTCTCCTTGTATTTTTTTTCATTTGGTCATACCTTGTCCTAGTTTCATTAAATCTGTGTTAACATTGCAGTTTTGATCATGCTTAGATAAGATGACATATTAATACTATATGATATGTGGATTTGTAGAGATAACTAACATATCCTATCTCTTCTTATAAGGCAAGACCTGGTAGAAGTACTGTACAGTTAGTCCTCGTTAGAATACCGATAGTCTGTAAACAAATGCCTACACGACCACAAACTTTTTTTGGTGTGATTTAAAAAAAACAAAATTTATTTATCTGCATCGTCTATTTTTAGACAAGGGACTGATATGAAGGATGGATGTTTAAGGTTTTCCAAACAATATTAAGACATTTCGAAATCGATAAAAGATTGTTGCAGCTGTTTGAAACATATTCATACATTTATTACCCATCTAATATTTTTCATAGGTTGCTTACCGCCATTGCTTTTCTTGTTAATGGATCCCTGTCTTGTAGGCGCTTGACCAAACTTGGGAACGATTGTGATCGGATACGGGTTAACAAACACATCCTCTTCGTCTTCCTCCTCTAGTTCACTTTTCACTCGATCTTCAAAAAAAAATACTATCGTAAGATTTTCCAAAAATTAATCTACAGGTTGTCAATACTATATGTCGTTAGTGTGATTAAACACCAAATTAAACATTGAAATAGATCAATCGGGAAACGTCGGCACTTTCCATAAACAAGAAAATACTTTCCTCGTTTACGGAAAGTGCCGACGGCTTCCGATTGTGAAATAGATATGAAGTAATTTAACATTGATGATGGGATGGGGCACAGATTCGTTCAATCAGGTTTTCATGAACTCGCGGTTTTGGATTGTGTTTGATAGTGATTGTGTTGCATAACAGCTTCAATGTTGAAAAGATGCACTTTAATCCTTATAATAATGTTTATTTCAAAAACAACGACGACTATTCTATTGTCTTTCTCGTCGTTAATTTCTGTTCCTGATACATATTAAACAAATTTCCAATTGTATCAGATGGTGAAACGGAGTCCTGTTGACAAAACATTTGAAATATAGTTTTATAAGTATGTATATTCTGTAATCACATTCACCCATGTATATTGTACACTACTGTAAACCCATATTGCAATACTTCTCGAGTTGACAAATGGTATCAAATGTGAATATAGTATGTTACGTTACCAGTGGTTAGATGGTATGTTTATCTGTTGTTTATGTTTAACAGTGATGTGGTAATGATACGTTGCAGATGACCGACATATAACAACACAAATGCATTTGTTTGACTGCCAAGAATAGACCTGAACCACAGTCATCCCCTCTTTTTACTGACGATACATAATTGATACGACATAATGGCCTACGTGAAGCTTTTCAGTCAAGACAACCATAACGTATGACTGTCACACAAATCGTGACGTAATGCATATTGTGATCTTAGAATATAATATAATCGACGTAAACGACAGCCAATATGGAAAATTATGACCTGGTGGGTTTACGATGGTTACAGAGAAACCACACATATACTAAAGATAATGTTTAATAAACGTGTACAATACAGTGCCGACCCCCCCCCCCCCCCCCCCATTTTTAAATGACCGAACGTCACATCATTACTACAGAAAGCCCCCTGTAATCAGCCAATCATTGACCCTATAAATTACTCATGACCTAAAAGGCAGGTTCGCAATGCATTTTAATTATTGTTATCAGTAAAAAGTAGACAGACGTCGGCATTGTTGCTGTTGGTGCCGTAGTAAACCCACCTCGATACACCTTGACATTCACTACCGATTAACTTGTCTGATATAATTATGTTGTATAATGCCAGCGTGTTGTCACCCTCGTTTTATACTGTTATGTTACGGTTGATAAATAAATTACAGATTTTCTACCTGCGAGGCGTCAACAACGTTGAACACTTTTACGATTGTCATTATGACCTGATTTCTAACTAAGAGACCATTCACACGGTGTCTTAGAGCCATATGACCTACATATCGTTTATTTATTGGATATATTATGAGTTAGCAAAAAACACCCTTTCTTATACAGCTGATGGTGGAATGGGGTTGGAAAGGGGTGTTTGGAGTGCGTTTCTTACCGTTTTGCTTAGCTTGTCTCACTTTCCAAAGCAATTTACATAGTATCAAGATATTACGTTTGTTTGGGTTATAGCTTACTTGAAGCAGCTAAGGTCATATGAAGTCGGGTGCCCTGGGAGACAACGCCAAAAAGAAGGGAAGGGATTGAGGCAGCAGATCAATTTTGGTTTGATGTAGGGTAATCTATTTATACGTATTGCCCTTGTATGTAGAAGCTAGTGAACACTTTAATAGCAGTCTTTCTACGTATTAAAATGCGTTGTCGTCATTGTGTGTTAACGCTGTAATATATGTTGTCCGTTTGTATTAACACTTTTGCATATTTTGTCCGTGGTTGCTGTTGCTGCGATATAGTGTTTTTCTGTCCTTGTCCTGATAACATTTGTCCTATTAACTCTTTATGTTGACATTGTGGCACATTTATTTCCTTTCTGTTAATGTGTTCTTTGACATTGCGTTATATGTGAACCTTTCTGTTGATCACGTGATATATTTGGAAATTTGTGTTGACCTTTTTGTATATCGTATCCCTGTGCGATGGCTATTAGGTATATTGATCATGTGTGTTGACCTTTTTGTATATCGTATCCCCGTGCGATACCTATTAGGTATATTGATCATGTGTGTTGACGCTGTAGCATTTCTTGTCGTCCTCGTGTGTTGTCCTTGATGCCTTAGTATATTTCATCGTTTGGTGTGGGCACTTGTAGTCCTTGTGTGTTGATATAGAGGTGAACTTCATCTTTGTATGTTGACATTGCAGTATCTTTTGTCGTTGTGTGTTGATCCTGTGCTACTTGGTCATTTTGGATGTTGACAGGGTGGAATGAGCTGCCATTACATGTTGACCCTGTGGTACGTTAAATGTTGTTGTTGTTGACCCTGTAGTACATTTTGTTGTTGTTGTTGACCCAGTGGTTAACTTTGAAGGTATTTATTGTGTATCTTAGCGGGCATCATAGTTTAGCATTTTCACTGTCCAAAGCGCTAGATTCTGTTAAACACTAAATATGAGACCATTATGTCTTTGTATGTATGATCAAAAATTGCGAATAACTTAATAATTGATATGTCCGGAAATTTTGGAGCGCTCTTTCAGGTATATTTACAGTAGAAGCTTTGTTTACTAGTATTTCACCAAAGAAGGATATTCACTAAGCGTGCAGATATTTGTATTGACACGCATACACATTTATCTACTCTAGTGACACATAGCCAGTCTCGGCCGACGTATAGATATAATCCCGTATGTCTCCCCGCTTGATTCGGACATTGCCTGCCTTCGTTCCAACTAAAAAACGTTTGATTTGCCATTCGCATGTTTAAGTGTTCATTCATTGGTCATTATATTCAATTAATATAATTAATAATTTCGTTTATATAAACAGTAATGCAGGTTTCTGAATAAAAAATTAGGTACGTTTATAGTAACTGCTATGCAGTTTTCTGCCATTAAGTCAAACTTCCGTACAGACCACATCAATTGGAGAAAAGGTGAATGGAGTTAAAAGACGGGAGATAGTTTGACAGGGTGCTTAATACATTCACCCCTGAATCTTTATAATGAACTAATCCAACCATTACTTAGGAAGAGTTCAAATGTGTCTTCAGGGGTGAATGAGTTAAATGAAATGACACACTTGGGGAAAACCTAATCGGACAGTTATATAAGATTGCCTATATTGCAGATTTCACAGTGGCTTCTGCCAATATCCAACATGCAGATGTGGTTTATATTATGACTCGGTTGTCTGGAGACATGGACAAAATAGTATCACTGACAGGGTATTTACTGCAAGTTTGACAGACACTGTAAAGAAATGGTACATATATTTCTGGCAGATTTTTCTGTAGTTTTATACTGCAGCTCTGGACAAAGGGTACCTAAGGACATATTGTAGCTATAGACAAGTAGTACCCAAGACTCATTTATTTCTCGGAGTGAGGTTTTGATTGTAACTATAGACAAATGGTACATATGACTTATTTCTTTCTGAGGTTTTGACTGTAACTATAGACAAATGTTAGATATTACTAATTTCTTTTTGAGGTTTTGACTGTAGCTATAGACAAACGATACCTAAAACGTTTTTCATTCTGAGGTTTTGACTGTAGCAATAGACAAGTGGTACCTAAGACTTATTTCTTTCTGAGGTTCTGCCTGTAGCTATAGACAAGTGGTCCGAACATTTTTTCCTTTCTGAGGTTTTGACTGTAACTATATAAAAATGGTACCTAAGACTAATTTATTTCTGAGGTTTTGACTGTAGAAATAGACAAATCGTACCTAAGACTTATTTCTTTCTCTTTCTTAGGTTTTGACTGTAGCTATAGACAAGTGGTACCTCAGACTAATTTCTTTCTGAGGTTCTGCCTGTAGCTATAGGCAAGTGGTCCCAACATTTTTTCCTTTCTGAGGTTTTGACTGTAACTATATAAAAATGGTACCTCAGACTAATTTATTTCTGAGGTTTTGACTGTAGAAATAGACAAATGGTACCTAAGACTTATTTCTTTCTCTTTCTGAGGTTTTGACTGTAGCCATAGACAAGTGGTTCCTAAGACTAATTTCTTTCTGAGGTTTTGACTGTAGCCATGGACAAATGGTACAGAAGGCTTATTTTTTCTGAGGTTTCGACTGTAGCTATAGACAAGTGATATCTAAGACAAACCTAAAGATATTAGTTCTCTGACAGGTTTGACTCAAAGTAATGAAAAGTGTTAATTATAGATAGGTGGTCCCACTAGGTTTCGCTATTTTTATAGGCAAATGGTACCTCAGACAAATATTTTGTCAGAGGTTTTGACTTAAGCTATAGACAACACAGAAGAACTATTATAGGCTGGAATAGGATCCCCTTCCACAAACAATATCATTGAACCACACAAAGGAAAAAAGGAAACTGACATTCCGAAAAGGGCACAGAGATAAATTTGTTCATACTTAACTACATCACATGTGTTCATCTCACCTGTATCTGGCTGAATGTAATCTACGTCATATATCTGTTGTTCCACGTGGAGTCGCTGAAGAATGTCCTTGACCTCCTGTTCGTCCTTGGAGTACTGTCTCACGAAGGCTTTCTTTTGGTGCTCCAGTGACTTTGTCCTTTTCTCGTGAGCCACCCGCTCTAGAGAGTTCTTCTGAACAAAGTCACGCATGTTGTTGATGTCCAGTTGTCCGGGGATACCTTGCATTTTGTCTGCTTACGAAACAAAATCCTCAAATAATTTATCCTTACCTAACAGTTGAAACCAGGCTAACAAATGTTTTTCCACTTGTATCCTCAAAACAGCTGTTTCGGTTAAGGCAGCGTTTCCTTATTTTCTTTTTATGTAGATTCAATTATTAAGTCTTCACGACGAACCATTTTGGCAACTGTAACAGACACAGGTACTGAGGTTATAGATTTGCTTTTAAATCTCTGTCCTCGCACAGTTCCTCTATAGTAACAAGTTCTAATGAAATAACAGCTTAAACAAAACACATCGTTTGTCGGTGAATTACCTATCCGATACAAAGGTCGTTTAGAATCTAATTCTGGGTGAATGAACTTTAAAATCGAATTAAGTGTTCAATCTGTGATCAAAATTGATGAAAATATCAGAGATGATTGACAAGGATAAACAACATTTTCCGAGTCCCGTGTAACATGATAACAACACAGTGTTGGTTTACAATTACGTCCCTCCTTCAGGTAAAAACACGCCATGCAAAACAGTTTTGACCTATTTCGTATTAAATGCCAACAACTTGCTGCCATTAAATGGAGTCGAACTTCATTTTCCGTATTGCTGAAACATGCAACACGTCTTAAGTGCGAGTATCAACTGGTTCTTTTATATCATATCAAGGCGCGATGCATACAGGGATTGATGACCAGCATATTATCCTTGCTAACATACATTTCTACGTAATAAACTTCGTTTGAGCTAGAACATTTATCATCTTCCTCTTTGCGATCATGGTTTAAGCCATGAGGTCAAACACAACAGCATTCCTCATGTCCTATTGTAGCTGGTCTGACGACGTCCAAAAACTTTCCCGATAACAGACATTTTCACGTCACTGAATAATAAATGCCTCCGCAACTGTTTGTTATTATTTAACACCCGCTGATCAAGTAGTACAATGTGTGAATTGGCGAGAGTTGGGAGAATTTCGCCAAAACAATGCTTGCCTTACAAGTGTTGTATTACCTGACTATTCCGGGTCCGTGATCCCCCTGTACTTTCCATCAAATCCTGTGCCTAAAGTTTCTTCTTAACGGCAGATATATAACAATCGTTCAACATCTCACGGCATCAGCGTTATTCATCCACATGAAAATAAAATCTGACTGTATTTAAATGGCCCACAGTATAACGTCCAGTATCATCAAGTATGGTAAGCTTGATATATTATAAAGTTGCTGCACAATGTCTCCCACCTAAATCACTAAATGGCAGGTTATGTATGTGTACAGAAAGAACTCGAAGAATTATCTGGTTTAATTTTTTTTTTGGCAGGGATGAAATAAGCTGCTAATAATTTTCGGTTTTATATTTGCCTATGAGAATTAGAAACTGGTTTATAATGGAAGTTTTATGAACAAAGTCGCCATATCAATATATAATCAGGTGTGTTGTGGTCCTGTATCACGTCGGACTGTGTCGCATAAAGAGCTACTGATAACGGCTAAGCACGCAAGACTTACCATTAAAAGGAGGGGACATATCGACGATAGCAGACGTTTGGCAATGTGTGTGACTTTGCAACATTAAAAACTGATCTCATATGTCCAGGTCATAAACAGGTATGGCTAGGTAAGTTAGTTTACGAGTTGTTATTGTGTTACCATTCTATCAGTTTTGGCTAGTAAACTATGATGATGTCATCATCCGCTTCAGATACACTTTGTCTGTATTGTTATACATTGTATTTATATTTACTTGTTCTTCTCACACCTGTTTATATAACATTAACTTGTATTCATACTTAACATTGATGTGTTATCCTACTGTTCGATTTGGTGTTCCATAAGTCAATTTAAAATTAATTAAAAAGATATGCTATAGTAAAACGTTTTATATCATAGCAAAACATATACAGGCAGGGAAGTAATTTTAAAGAGTGTAGCCAATTTGAGGTCGTCAAATTTATGGAACAATCCGCTCCTTTATTGAGACACAGCAAAAAAACAGAACACTTAATTACATCACATAAAATCAAAACAGAAATATAATAGGATATAATTAATATTTACAAACAATAATCCCCTCGGCTAGCGTGAATTGAAGGCAGAATTTATACTGACTACATTGTTGTCCAATGGTACTGTGTGTGTGTGTGTGTGTGTGTGTGTGTGTGTGTGTGTGTGTGTGCGAACAACGACAAAGAGATTCTAAACACATACACATATAAATATATATCATAATATATATCAGACCAGTCAGAATAGTTTATCATAATGATAATATAAATAACACAGTGCAAAACCATAGTGCTGGAAGTGGAACAAAAACTGAACAGACAAATAAAATAAAAAAACAAAAAACCAACAACATTATGACCCATCCCCCCTAAGTATAAATAATAGTTAATGCATTTCTATCAGTGCTCATCAGTTGATTACAATATGTAGGTTACAAAATACACGATGAAATGTCGTTTATTAAAGTAAACGCTATACTCATTTCCTTAGTGTAAATTGAGATAATAACTCTCGAGCATTAATAGAATATACATAGCTACATATTTGAGGTAGAATTTCACTGATTATGGATTAATAGAATAGGTCACTCTATGGGCCGAGGACAGATAAATATCAACCCGAGCGTTAGATATTTGAAGTAAAACCTTGCACCGAATTAAAAAATAAAGACATATCTCAAGTAAAGCTGCAAACTATATGACGCTATGTTGACATTTTCTGCTAAAGGTAAGAGAAGGCAGGCTTATACATGTGAAGTAAGGGAGAAATAGTTCTAAAAGGTGATGGAGTTTGATATGTTCTTCTCTTTAAAGATTTAAAAGTACAATACAACAGATTAGGTGACAGACAAACCTATATACTATTTATCTGTCTACTAAAATGATTATTTGTTGTTATTTCAGGGACGAGAAATACAATTGTTAATTCGCGTTGTATTAATGCGTCTAATGTAATTCTGTATTTGATGCATTAGTGCATGAAAGATAGAGTATAAGTGGTGTTAGTATAATATTTCTGTGAATGTAACAAATATGGTAGTATATCACACTTTGTAATAAATATGATGTTTAAATGTTATTAATGGTGTAGTGTAATAAATGTGATAATGTTTCAATTGTGGTAGTGTAAGTGATGGTGTGATTGTTCAGTATAATACATGTAGTATCGTAATAGATGTGGTCATATAAAAAACGGGAGAGTGTAAAATTTCAAAAGTTTGTGAAATAAATAAATTATAGCATTATTATAGACGTCATGAACACAAATACGTTACGTTTCAGAGGTTACTAAATTTTAAATTAGGCGTTTTTTACTTTTGAGTTTGACGAATATACATATACAACGAAATGAACATTTTAAGATTTTTTTGTCGCAGAAGATATGTGTCAGGAAAAAAAAAGCAAATGTTATCTTCTAAGTAAGACCATTTTGTTGCGTTCTAATTATATATGTCCGAGTTCCATCGGTGTTACAAGTAACATACACACCTGAACATATAATAGAATGACCTACCGTCATGTCTTGCATATTGTCTGCAGGCTATACGGTTTTTTAACTTGAAAACCGCTCATTGAGTGCTATCTGATGAAGCGGGAANAAAAAATTTTTTAAAAAAAAAAAAAAAAAAAAAAAAGTGAGGACTATGCGATATCTTTCAAATCCAAATCTTATCTATTTTAAATTTCAAAACAAAAATCTATCAAACGACTCACAAGAAGATATAAATCGAAAACATCCATGTAAGTACAGATGAGAAATACACATATCTTACGTTAAAAGTGTACCTGGTATTCATGGCGTTAATAGTTTTTATGTAATAGATACCTGGCGGGCAATATAGAGGGGCAATCTGAAGCTTTATTTCCTAAACATAATTTCATGTGTGCGGGCAATATAACGGAGGTGGCAATACGCATAGAATTACTAACAAAAGTGATAAGGTATATAGTACGTTAATAATAAATGAACAATTCTTTAAATACAAAAATAAACATCACCAGAATGAAACATAGACACAGTTTAATGTAGCCGCCGATCACAACAAGTCCCGTTTTAATGTTTACATTGGCGCCTTGATAATCTAGACATCTTCGCTCCAAGTTAAAGTGATTGTGAGAAGGGAGCCTACCGTAGATCACTTGTATAGAAAGGCTCTAGAGAATATCGAAGTTTAAAACCATTCCGTAACTTGAATTAAAAACCTATGAAACGGAGACAAAATATTCACGAAAAAGATTAACGTGGACTCCTTTTTGTTAAAGAACAAGGAGACTGATAAGAGTTCCGGACAGATGGTTGAGCGTCCCCTAGTTCACTGATGATGCTCATGAGTCTTGGTTCAAACCGAGTACAGTCACGTTCCCAACGGGAGAACCGGGATAGAGACAACGAATGCATAAGCCATACTAATGATCAATGACACATAGAAAGATAAATGAACGTTTGTTATGTAGACCGATGTGGGATAATTTTGATGACGGACAAACATTACATTTCCATGTAATACCTGATCAGACGTGGCTCTACTGAGGAACAACAATGGATGGACTTGGAAACACACTTTTACACAGTGATATAAGGTTTACCAATATCACTTTACCAAGTAGATGTATACTATGTTGCTTTTAGGGTCCTTATAATCTGCCCTATCACACAAACAGGTACATTCACTTAAAGTTCTAGAGGAAGGGTTTTCTGTAATAAAACCGTTCCCATAACATGTCAATACTCGTATTATCTATACTCGTTTGATGCCAGGGGTCAACACTCCCATTTGATATCTAGTTGTTCTAGGGCAATCAATCTATTTATCAATATCCCGCTCAACTAATTTCAAATGCACGAATGGTTCCAGGGCGAATTGTGCAAGGGTCATTTAACTGTAGCAATACTTTCCATATGAATTGAATAGTGTATGTGTGCGTCAATTAATTGCTGTTCCAGATAGTACATGGTATCTTCATGTAACATTTTAAATACCACCAACTTACAATTTACGTCTTAAGTATGATATTGCTAGACCTTACATATGAAATGAAAATTAAATACACAACTGGCTCCAGACAAACCCATACGTCTCTAAGCAACAAGGTGAGTACACAACATGATTTTTAGTTCATATTAATTTTAATATTTTCTGAATATGTTTTAAACCATAAAATATTAATAGACATGCATTTTACCGCGCATGCTCTATAGTTATATGTTTACATAGCTAGAACTTTAATGTAATTTTCAAATTGCTATTCCTCTTCTGACGTGTATTTGATCGCTTTGTCATAATTTTTAAACCTGTTGATAGGACGTAAAATAAAAATAAATAAAAACCAAGCTTTGTTATACCTTTTAAAGCTGTTAAAAGGACGTAAACCAAAAAAACCAAACCAAACCAAGCTTTTTTTTTTTTTTTTTTAAATATTTTATTTCCCCCAGCCAAATACTATATATATATATATAATACTGATAAGTATATACAGATATTTAAGGAATGATTTTTATTTTTTCAACATTTATGAGGTCATAACAACAATGGGTTTATGGACATATTGAATGAATCGCGTTAGCGATTCATGTAAAATATGTCCAAAAACCTATTGTTGTTATGATCTCATAAATGTTGAAAAAATAAATATCATTCCTTATATTTCCATTGACGAATCCTTTCAGTGGATCGATATAACAACGAATAAAACAAATAAACAGGGGTTGTTCCTGCTTATACACGGGTGCAACGCAGTGGCGAGAACAGTGTTTTTTCGCGGGGGAATGTGACACTATCGTGAGAGATCTTAGCAACCGTCAACAACAAAAACCCAACAAAAATATTTTAAGATGTAAGAATTAAGCATCTAGGTCGGTCGTTCCGAGTGAGTAGTTTTTGTAGTGTATTACTACGCAGTGTGATCAGGTTACTATCAGTTCCCACGTGCTGAGATTCTATGAACACCTGTGTTATGCATTTATGAATGTAATTTTTGTCAATGGGTCTAAGCATACAGAATGTAAATATATATAAATAACTTGATAGGAACTGCCAGGGTTGGGGGGCCCTGGAGTCAGTCCCCTAAACAATATGGTGTCCTCACACAGTAGGGCTCTCATTCATTTTTCTCTGTTAATTTTATCTAAATTCAAATATTTCAATTTCATATTTTTTTTTATCAATATATAACATTCAGAAATTTGATTGGGAAATAAAACATTTGTACATAGAGTATTGGACATCTACAGAACAAGAACATACTACATGTACCACATTTCACACACAGCACACACATCCAGACGTGTTTACATATACATCAGTATCATAATCACTAAACATTAACAAAACACTTATACACACACATATACATACACATATACATACGTACATGACATACACTCCTACGACCTACATAAGTATATACATACATGCATATACATGCACGTACATACACACTAACATCAGCAAGTCTGCATGCACTTACATACGTACACATGCATGTAAATACAAACATACATGCACATTATTGCATGTATCCATATAAGCACCAGAAAAACATGCACTCTACTAACCCGTATTGTGTTTGTTTTTGGAAAGAGAAATATCAATCGACAAAAAGACAAATTGTAGTATACAAAAAATTCTCAAAATAAATCCTTCCATTCCATCCATCTTTCATCAAATATTTCATTGTATACATTTTTTACTGATAAAGCTTTCTCAATATTATATCTGAATGCAAGAAACTCATTCAAACCATTTAAACTAACTTCTGTTTTTTTCTGGAAACAGTATATATATAATATTTTGTATACAAAATAATGTAGTTAATGGGCATGGGAACATTTTCAGTAATTCCAAAAAGTATTGTTTCCAACTTATAATCAATGATTTTCCTTATTCTGTTAAATAATCTCTCTTTTAAATCTTGCCATAGCTTTAAGGACTGTGGACATTCCCAGAATAGATGTTCTGTAGTTTCTATTTGTATTTTACACATATTACAGATATTGTCATTTGACATCCCAATAGTATTTAAATAGTTTTTAATTGGGAGGATACAATTTTGTAATCTGTATTGAAACCATTACAGTGTTGTGACTTTTGTAACTTTAAAGACAATACTATATGAATTTTTCCAATTTATATTTCTAAAATTTTCTTTCAATATCCATTTTCTTTCAGCTGTATTTACTAATTTAATTTTACTATTTAATATGTCATACATGTCTTTACAACCTTTTTTTTCTTTATGATAATATAAATATGACTTGGTATGAAGGGCCTCTCCAAAGTTGTTTCTGCAGTTAAGTTAAAATTTAATTGTTTACAACATTGCCTAATAGACTGGCATATACTATGATAAATCAAGCAGTTTCCAGAGTTTATATTGTATTTCAGTTTAAAATTTACAAAAGTTAAAAAAACAATATTTAGCTCTAATAGATCACAAACATTTTTAACACCCCGATCAAACCATTTACGGACAAAAAAAAAGACTTTTTGCCAATACCAAAAAGTGGGTTATACCAGATTGGGAGAGTTAAGAACTGCTTAATAGATTTTACTTGTGTTACTTCTGAAACATTTACCCATGCCTTAAAAACATCATTCCAAAACATATTACTAGTATTTATTTTTTTAATAAAATCAATTCCCACATCCGATATATTTTCTACTGGAAAGTGCTCTGCTTCAAAAATATGGATCCAGCTTTTCCCATTATTTTTCAGTAATCTTCGTATCCAAGTGGACTTCAAACTAGATATGAAATTATTGATGTTAATCATTTTAAGGCCTCCACTTTCATACTTTTTGATTATAGTATTTCGTTTAATTTTGTCAACAGGAGATTGCCAAATGAAGTTAAAAAATATTGTGTTCAGCTGCTGAATAAAAGTGCTGGTTGGTGTAGGAATTGCAATGAACAGATGATTAAGTTTTGGTATAATTATTGATTTCAATACTACAATACGACCAATAGGGGTTAAAATCCTACGTGACCATTGGGTTATACTGTTATTTACATTTTTTAGGGCTTTCACATAATTCAAGCTTATAATCTCTTCTAAGATAACTGAAAAATGAATACCTAGCAAATCAAATTTTGTTTCCCCCCATTTTAATTTCCATCTATGATGGTAGACATCTGCGCTGAATTTCTTGCTGCCAATCCAAATAACTTTTGTTTTATCATTATTAACTTTTAGACCTGACATTTTACCAAAACAATCTAAAGTATTTAAAGCTTCATTGAATGAGTTTCTAGATCCATCTAAAATTATTGAGGTATCATCTGCAAACTGTGAGAGTTTATAATCCTTATGTTTTATTTGTATACCTTTGATATTTTTATTGTTTTTGACCAAAATTGCTAATATTTCAGCTACTAGTAAGAACAGATACGGGGAGACTGGATCACCTTGTCGACATCCTCTTTGTATATCAAAAAAATCAGACAGTATACAATTTTGTGTTATTGCAGAAAAAGTATTTTTATATAAAGTTTTGATCCATTTCTTAATGCTTTCACCAAAATTAAAAAAATCAACTACCTTGTATAAAAAATTCCATGAAACAGAATCAAAAGCTTTTTCAAAATCAATGAATATTAGAAGTCCAGGTATATTGTTTAATTCAGTATAATTCATCATATCATAAATTAGTCTAGTGTTTTCACCAATATATCTACCACTTAAAAAACCTGTTTGTGTCTCGGAAATAATATGGTCTAGAACTGATTTTAGTCTGTTGGCTATACAAGCTGATGCTAGTTTATATACAACATTTAGCAAAGTAATTGGTCTCCAGTTTTTCATAAAATGTCTAAGCTTATCACCTTTTGGAATACAAGTTATAATTCCCTGTCTTTGTGTAATTGATAATTCACCGTTATTATACCCAAGATTCAAAGATCTAACAATAAAAAAATTCAAATTTACCCAAAATAATTTAAAAAACTCACTTGTATAGCCATCAGAACCAGTTGATTTAAAGTTTTTCATGTTTTTTAAAGCAAAAAGGAGTTCTGTTTCTGTTAATTCTCCTTCAAGGCTTGAACGTTGATCATCAGTTAATTTAACAAACTCTAGACCATTTAACAAATTATTTAGATTAACATTTTCTATGTTATCAGAGTGGTCACGATCAGCATATAGCTGTTTGTAAAAATTCATTGTTTCTGCAAGAATATCACCTTGACTTGTTAAAACTTCACCATTATCTTTTTCAATTTTAACTATAGTTTTGTTCACATAATTATAAGTTTCTAAATTACAAAAATATTTTGATGGTTTTTCGCCCTCATCTAGCCAAGTTACCTTTGAACGAATCATGTGTCCTTTCATTTTATTTATTCTAATATTTTCTAACTCCATCTTCTTTTGTTCATATGCCTCCAAATTTGATGCCCATGTATTGTTACCTTCAAGTTGTTCTAAATCATATAGCAATTCTTTTTCTCTTTTATCCCTTTCCTTTTTTCTAAATGATGAATATGATATGGTAATTCCTCTTATCTCCATTAACAATGTTTCTAAAAATAATTAATCATCAATGCATAGTTCAAGTTCTGAATCTGTTACATTTGAAATGTCATTATCATAAATAGGTGAACAGTATTGTTGTTTTACCTTAACTATTGTTTCTTTAACTTTTTGTACATATTCTTGGTCATATAAAAGACTATTATTAAATTTCCATAGGCCCCTTCCTTTTACAAAATTACTTATTTTTATTTCTAATGAGATAATTGAATGGTCTGACCTATAACCTATATGAATATTACTTTTATCAATATAGTTGGAGATATTTTCTGAAATAAGAAAGAAGTCTAATCTAGCTTGTTTTACAGGGTTCTTCTTTCGCCATGTATATCGTCTATAATTAGGATGGAAAAATCTGAAAGGGTCAATCAAATTTATATCTTCTATAAGTTTTAAGAGCCTTGTACGAGCATTTGGGTTATTTATATTAACATTATTGTTTGTGTCTTTTTCTGGGTCTAAAACTAAATTGAAGTCACCACAAATAATACAATTGGGGTTATTATAACTAGTAATTTGTTCATATATCTTTTCGTAAAAATCTGGTTCATCTGTATTTGGAC